TCGGGCCTGCCGGGGGAAATCGGGCCTGCGGGGGGATCGGGCCGGCTCGGGGATCGGGCCTGAGTGTCACCCGCTCCTGGAGGGCCTGCCCGCCGCCGGGTGCTCGTTCCAGCAGCCTGGGCCGCGGCTGGCCGGGCGCGCAGTCAGCAGGCCTTCAGCGGACCGCGCCCCGCGCCCCGGATCTGCGCGTTCAGGTAGCGATCCGGGGCAGGCAGGTGCGGAGAAGGTCGGCTTCGAGGGAGCCGCCTCCCTGGAAGATTTTCAGGGAGGAGAAAAATCCTGGGAGCGTTGCCTTATCCTGTTACGTGTTGGAATCTTCCGTGATCCTCCGTGCTTTTAAGTACGGCTATTTTACATTTTGACAGTGAAAATTCTCTGTTTTCATACATTCAGGAGAAAGTTTGCTTCGGTATCAGAGTGGGGTGATTTTCAACTGGCTTTCGGTGGAACTACGTTGCAAACTGAAAAGTCAGTACTCCTCTGTCCTCGGTTAATAATTTAGGTTAGAAGTAAAATTACAGCAGTGGAAGAACAAAGACGTCTGAGATCGTGTTGCTCTTCGCTTACATACACTTTTCAGTTACTCTGGAAAGTTAAAACTAAGTGTCTTTGTTCCTTCGAATGTAGTTGATAGGTTTTCTTTCCTTGCCAACTCAAGCCTGGGTTTTAATAGAGGATACTTAGCCAGCTCTAGGGATACCTTATAGTTATCATTTAGTAGGTGCCAACAGAGACTTATCAAGCATAGATAAGATGTGGAAGTTTGTTTTTAAGAGTGCTTTAAACCCCAACTACAATTTCTTCAATAAAATCAGTAGTTACCATAGCAGCCATTGCATCATTCTCGATATTCAGAGAATGCACTTACATAATGGCATTCACTGTAGATTTTTGTTATTTGCAGAAAAGAGGAACTAAATGGACACTTTCCTGCAACTTAATGCTATTTTGTAGAAGTGTAAGTGCGTATTTTTAAAGAAAACTAGCATAGAGTTCACTATCCATTTGCCACTTTTTATAATAGTTTCATTATTCAGAATTCCTTTATTCATAAACGAATAGGTTCCCCTTAAATTAACACGGTGCTAATGTGTCATCATCTCTTCAAGTGCTTTGTGTGCTTGTTTACTTCCTACATGTTTAAACATGTCCTTACGTCCAAATCTGAACCACAGGGACAGTTTGCTTATAATGAGAATTGGTGGCTGGAAGTCGCCAGAGCTAGAATAGATACATGTGCTTCAGCAGTGAATGACCGAGTATGCTGTGGGCAGGTGAAACCCTAGCAGTCACACATCTGAATCAGATTGTTCTTTAGGTATTTTAATGCTCCGAATTCCATCAGTGCTCTAGATTTCTCTGGGCTTTACTCCAGGGATACACAAATCCCCATCAGTGGGCTAGAGCAGTAAATAATCATAATGAGCGCACTTCTTTCTGACATCAGGCACATCTGAATTGTCAAAAGCCTTCATGAGAAATCCTGATTATGTGCATAATCCCCCCCAAAAAATTGTTAGTGTTTTACCTTAGGTACTTAGTATTGAAATACTGATGACCCCCAGCCTGTAAACATATTTTATAAGTTCACTTGCAAATCATGAGATACTATAAATGATGCTTAAGTGGTAGGTCAACCTACAAAGGACTGTTTAATCAGTAACATAGGAACTGTTGTACCAATGGAAACTATACTATTTTGTGACATTTTTCTTAGCAGAAAATTGCGTCTTAGAAGTTCGGTATATAAGGCTGGGATGATCTTTAACATCTAGTAACAATTGCCAACCATGACGGATCAGTGTACTCATCCGTGTGTCTCTTAGAAAATTCCTCCATCACACCTCATAGTTTGAGATTCCCTGTCATTATGTCCTGTAAATGTATCAGCCAGGTTTTGGTCTAGTGATACAGACTGACTCCTCCTTTTTACAGATGAGTGAACTGAGTCCTGAATATATTAATATAACTTGCTTGGAGCTTGGGTAGCTCATCCTTAGCACTATACCTATTGTATGGGCATGATAGATTTTCCTTCCCATGGTCAAGCTTAAGGTTGGTGATTGTGAATGGTAGGATGCAAGGGAAAAGGAGGAGGGGGAAATAGCTCTAGAATTTGGATTAAGGGACAAGGATATAAATTGCTAGGAATTAAATTGAGGTGGAAGGGAGATGGCAGAGCAGTCACCAAAAGCGGACTTGAGTGAGGATTGGATAATTCAAGTTTGGGGTTGGAGAGAAAGATTTTCCCCTCCCTCATTTCTGGTGTAGAATTGAAAATGAAGCAGAAAGAAGAGCGAAAATGAGATTTTTTTTTTCTCTTGTGATAGGAAAGATCTCACTGCTCCAGTCTGTGAGGAACAGTGAGTAGGGTTATAGACTAGTGGGTAGGTTTAGTGTAGTTTTCGGCACTTTTTCTCTGTTTGATGTATTTTGCTGCTTGTCCTGCATCCCCAGGTAAAGATCTGTGCCAGTTTGCATAAAGGTACAGCACAAATTGGAAGTAAAGGTCAGTGTTTAAGGCAATGTTGTGTTATCTAAAGTAGTTACTAAAAGAAAATGCTAGAGGAACGCTCACCAGTAGTGAGAAGAAAAGGAGCGTTCTGGAGTCAGCTGTTTGTGGGTGAAACTTTCTTTTAGACTGAGTTTCTATAAATGACGTGGTTTTGCACGTATTTGTATGTTCTGTCTCTGCCATGCATAATGTTAAAATTTTGTGTCCACACAAGCCAAACTTATTTAAAATATATTCTAAGAATTATAGACAGTTTGTGAAGAAGACACAGCTGGTTTTATTTTCTAAACGGGTTTCATCGTTTAATCAGATGTGACTGACAAGCACATCTCAAGTTGGGAACTGAGCTAGACGTATTCGTATTTTCAGTTGTCTGTACATCATTGTTTTCATAATCTTATTCATAAAGACTTTTTTGTCAGATATAAAAGAGGTCATGTAAAAATGCCAAGAAAGTATAAAAGGATGCAGCTCTCAGGAATAAAACTACACTCTGCATTCTATTTCATTTTTATTTTTTTAGTGTATTTTATGTATTTCTTTACTTCAGAACATTCACCAATTTATTTAGTCTCTATTGGTTTTCTGTTTTTTGTTTTTTTGTCTTTTCTTTCAGTACCAGGAATCGAACTCACGACCTTGTGCTTGCCAGGCAGGCGCTTTGCCACTGAGCTAAATCCCCAGCCCCTATTTAGTCTCTAAATGTACTTATTCTACGTATCAAAACAGAAGAAAACGGTTTATCCCATAAGCCCATGAAGCTTATAAATCAGTTGAAGAGATAAAAACACGAACTCAGCTGTTACACAGTAATGTTTTCAAAGTTCAAGGAGTCATGGGTAATCTTTATGACACTTATACCTTAGAAATTAATGTTATTAGTAATAATGATAATACTATAAGAGTAAGTAGATGAAACAGGTTATTGATACAGAAGTAGAAATCACAGGGTAGGCTGTTTCTGTAGACTAGGTCGAGGGGAAAAAAAATGTCATGAACTTTA